GATGGCCCCGCGGCTCCCCTGTACTCTGTTTCCCCCTCTGTTGGAATTCTTCCCTCTTGTCTGCTCCCGCAAGAAAGGAGCACCAGGAGACCAGGGTGGGGGTGGGGGACTTATCTCTGTGCTCCCTCCAAGTCCCAACCCAGCGCTTGGCACATATGAGATACTTGATAAGCAGGTTGGCTCACTGGGTGCTGGCTCCACCCAGCCCCCCCGGAAATGGATGCCCTTACCTCTCGAGCTCTTCCCGCTCTTCCTGCGTTCAGCAAAGAAGTAATTAAAACATTGTCTTAGTTAGTAGTTACTTTAATTGCAGGCACACAGGGCCTGCCTGTGTTCTAGGGAGAGATGTTGAATCCTGGGTAATGTCATGATAATGGATTAGAAAGGATCTTTTTGGGGGCACCTGGGTGACTCAGTTTGTTAAGCTTCCACCTTCGGCTCAGGTCATGACCAGCTCATTAAGCCAGAAGCTGAGGAAGCTCAGTGCCTGAACCCGTTTTGAGTCTGTAAAGGGGTTCCCTCTCTGCCCCTTTCCTGCTCTCTCGCTGTCTGTATCTGTCTCTGTCTCTCTCTCAGAAACAAACATTAAAAAAAAAAAAAAAAAAAAAAAAAGAAAGGATCTTTTTGAAGCACAGTTGAAGTTTTCCATCTAGGACCACGTTCGGAAACTGCCTTAATTTTGTATTTTTTTAAAAAAATTGTTAATGGTTATTTATTTTTGAGAGAGACAGCGCGTGAGCAGGGAGAGAGGACACACGGAATCGGGAGCAGGCTCCAGGCTCTGAGCTGTCAGCACAGAGCCTGACGCGGGGCTCGAACCCATGAACCGTGAGATCATGACCTGAGCCATCAAGTCAGATGCTTAACCAACTGAGCCACCCAGGCGCCCTGGAAACTGCTTCTGAGAGGCTTCCCTTTCCTCCCCAGGCACAGAGAGTGACAGGAAAGCATCTGTGTTTCTCACAGCCCCCAGGCATGTGGTCTTTGTAACTGGGGAGGTGAGCATAGTCAACAGCCAGTGTTCCTGGTCAGTACCCGCCTTGTTCCACTCAGTGGCTGTGAGGTGGGGGGGGTCCCTTTAGAAATCACTGAGTCCTGGAATAGAGGAGGCCAGTTGCAGCTGCAGAGTTATTGGGACCCACTGTCCTCACCTTTAGTGTCTCCTTGGTTGATTGCCACCCCCTTGTGACCTCCGGGTTCTGTTCAAGGCCTGGAGATGGTCCATGGTTCTGCCTGAGGCCCAGCCTTGCCTTAGAAGAATCCTCCACAGGGCCTGGCATTGACTCCACAGCAGCTGAGGCTTCCCGCGCTGCTGCGTGTTTGCCCGGACTCTTACCCAGGTCTTAGGGGTTCTGGTTTCTTAGGGAGTATGCCATCTCACCATGGCCTGTGAGTCCCTGATTCCGGGGATGTCCTTGGAGCACCTGCCTCCCCAGCCCCTACACGGGGGGGCTGTTTGGGACTGCCCACCCCCACCCCCACTTGCTGGATCCCACAGATGAGTCACCTGCTCTGTCTCCCTGTATAGCCAGACTTCAGCGGCTGCACTCTCTGTCTCAGTCGTGCTGAGTGCATCCTCTGTGTCTCCCTGTTGAGTTATCAGCTGTCATTTTGCTCCTCCGGGTGAACTTAGAGCTAGGTTCTGTACGTTAGGATTCATGCTGTGGACCAGGACGTCAAGATGTCAATTGTAGTTGAATTCTGCAAAGCAAGAGTGAAGGAGCTGTGTCTGAGTTGGAAGAGCTCTCCGGAACAGCGTGTGAGCGTAGTGCAGGACGCAGGTGTTCTGATGTATTGCTGGGCATTAATTGGCAGCGTTGTGGGTCTTGGTGTGTCCGTGTGTCTGGTGGACACACAGACCTACGTGTGTCTTAGCGCAAGTGAACAGGAGTAGGATTAATGTGTTACTAATTGCCATTGGAAAGAGCTTGGATAATGACTTGGGGGGAGGGGTCCCACGAGTTTGAGAAAGACTACCTGGTGTTAAATCGTAGCCCAACTAAAGTCACAGTACAGATCGTCGCACCATTCATTGGCAAAAAAACAAAACCCGACTGGAGGCAGTCCTTGTCAGGGAATGGTTGAATAAATCGTGATATGGTATGTTGCTATTCAGAATTAAATTGATACGCATATTTATGTGCACCGACTTGGGGTAGCTCTAGTTTATTCGTGCCCTGTGAATACCGTTTTGTGTTCAGAAGAATTTCACCTACGTTGTTACACGTGCATGTATATGAACCTTGAGGAAACCTGGAAGGGGGCGCATGAAACAGTGGCTTCCTTCATGTTAGGAGTGGAGTGGAGGAGTCCTTATTTGCCCATCTTCATCCTGTACTGCTTGCCTTGGTGCTGTTAGCATTTCATTCTTTGAAACCCAAAAGTAAAAGTAAATAATAGAACCAGGACCTGCACAAAAATGTTTATAGCAGCTTTATTTCCAATAGCCTCAAATTGGAAACAACCCAGCTGTTTGCAGGTGAGATGGTATGTCCCTGCCGTGGAATCCTACTCAGCGATGTAAAGAAACCAGTTGGTGACCTGAGTCTCAAGGGAATTATGCTGAGTGACAGAAGATGTTCCAAAAGGTTGTATGCCACATCCATTTATGTAACATTCTTGAAATGACAAAAATATGGGGATGGAGATTAGTTGTTGCCGGGGGGTTGTGGGAAGGGGGGTGCACACTGGGAGCTGGGTGTGGCCATGAAAGGGCAACCCAAGGGTCCTTGTGTGGGACCCATTCACTGTCTTGACTCTTGGACACGTAGACCTACTTGTGTCTTACAACTGCAAGTGAACAGGAACAGGATTAGCATGTTGCTTCGGCACCAGTGTCCTGGTTTTGAATTACATAGTGCTATGATTTTGCAAAATGGTACCAGGGGAAACTGGGTAAAGGGAATTGGATCTTTATTCTTTCTTTTTATTTTATTTTATTTTTTTATCAAAGAAAAATTGTTTTAACGTTTAGTGTTTGTTTTTGGGGGAGAGAAAGAGAGTGTGGGTGCGGGGAGAGGCATGGGGGTGGGGGGAGGGAGGCAGGCACAGAATCCAAAGCAGGCTCCAGGCTCTGAGCTGTCATCACAGAACCTGATGTGGGGCTTGAACCCACGAACTGTGAGATCATGAAACTTTTAACCGGCCGAGCCACCCAGGCACTCCTAAAAAAATTTTTTTTTATTGTTTGTTTTTTGTGTGTGTGTGTGAGGGAGAGCACGATCAAGTGTGAGTGGGCAAGGGGCAGAGAGAGGGAGACAGGATTGGAAGCTGGCTCCCTAGCTGACAGGAGAGAGCCCAGTGCGGAACTCACGAACCATGAGATCATGATCTGAGCCAAAGTTGGCCGTTTTTTTTTTTTTAATTTTTTTTTTCAATGTTTATTTATTTTTTTGGGACAGAGAGAGACAGAGCATGAACGGGGGAGGGGCAGAGAGAGAGGGAGACACAGAATCGGAAACAGGCTCCAGGCTCTGAGCCATCAGCCCAGAGCCTGACGCGGGGCTTGAACTCACAGACCGCGAGATCGTGACCTGGCTGAAGTCGGACGCTCAACCGACTGCGCCACCCAGGCGCCCCCAAAGTTGGCCGTTTAAATGACTGAGCCACCCAGGTGCCTTGGATCTCTATTATTTTTATAGTAATTGTGACTCTGTAATCTCCCAGTATGTTTAATAAGGAATGGAATCAGCCTGATCTGATAGAAATTTGCAGGAGTACGGGTCATGTTGAGAGTAGGCACTTAAAAAAGCACATAAAGAAATTCAGCCTTTCCATAGCGTTGTCTTACTTTATTCAGGACCTCTTCCTTCTTTATTTCTTCTTGACTGGTGCCTCTGGGCTCATTTGGGGGCTCCAGTGAACTTTTAGTTTGTCTAAGGGGTGAGCATTTCTGAGGACAGACCACGTGGGCAGACTCAGTCTTGAGGAGGAAAAGCAGAGAATGCAGACAGGGTTCCCCTGGCAGCGGTGCCCCTCACATCCAGCTGTAACCCGAAGCCAGTGGGTCCATGTTAAAGAGGACTTGTGGTCTTCACCTGAGAATGTTTGCTCTGGGCCCGCATTTATTTATTTTGAGGGAGGGAGAGTGTGCATGTGCGGGCATGGGAGAGGGGGCCGAGGGAGAGAGAGAATCTTAAGCAGGCTCCACCTTCAGCGAGGAGCCCATCTTGGGGCCACGATGACCATGACCTGAGCCAAAATCAGGGGTCGGACGCTCAACCATCAGAGCCACCCAGGCGCCCTTGCATCAAACTTTAGATCCTGTTTCTTCTGGTCCTGCCCCAGCACTGAGCCAAGCTCCCTTCCGGGTTACCTTTTTCTATCTTTAATTGTGTGAGAATCTCTGGCATGCTGGTGTGGATGCTTCATGCTGAAATTTCCCACATATATCTTTAATATCAGTTACATTCCTTGCTTCTTAGGCTTACGGGTCTTCTCTTTTGTCTATTTTCTCTCTCTCTCTCTTTTTTAATGTTTATTTATTTTTGAGAGGGAGAGACAGACAGACAGAATCCGAAACAGGCTCCAGGCTCTGAGTTGTCAACACAGAGCCTGATGTGTCGCTTGACCTCACGTACCGTGAGATCATGACCTGAGCCAAATTCAGACACCCAACTGAGTGAGCCACCCAGGCACCCCCGTTTTGTCTATTTTCAAGTGAACTTTTAATTTTGGATTAATTTTAGATTTACAGGAAAGATGTAGTTTGTGTACGGTGTGCCCATGTCAGCAACTAAGGAACTAGTAACCAAACTCCAGACTTCCTTTTTTCCCATTAACACCCGCTTTTTGTTTCTGGACCTTGTTACCTTTTGGGAGTGATTCTTTAAGTTGATGAGGTTTCTTGAATATGTTCCTTGTCCGACACCCAAGAATTTTGGGGGGGGGGGAGGGGCTTTGAAAAAAAGAATGTTGAGGTGGAGTTCCTAGAGATTCTATGCATCACTCTGATGTGGATGAGAGAACCGTCCTGGCTCCAGCCCCAGCAGACTCTGCTGCTGAGCCATGCGGACATGGCGGGGAACCACAAGCTTGGACCAGAAGGTGACTTGGGAGTTCAGATGGGGATCTTTAGATGCTGATGGATTCCTAGAACCAGTAGTACCAATGTTTCTAAACTGTCCTTCTGAAATACATTGGGGATTGCTAATTAAGAAATCATTATGCAGAAAGATACCCGTGTTCTCATTTACCGTGATAACCTCTGCTTCAGTGATAATCTTTAAAATGGGTTCAGGGTCTGGAGAGGAGATGAGGGGAGGCGGACTAAGCAGAAACCAGATGGCTTTTGCCTTGGAATTCCAGGTGAACCAGTGGGCCCGGAGTTGAGAGCGTGTGCTCTGCGTTGGCACTCCATATATTCTGGCCTCTTAACTGCGCTGTGGTTTTGCCCACTGGGTTGTAATCACTAGTTGAAAAGTTTGAGGGGGAACCTGAGCGGAGACTGAATCGGAGGTGTGGCTCCATCTTTGCGGCTGACACACCACCTGGTGGCAGTATACACCTCTTAGTTGGAAGGCTCTGAGGTTTTACTGTGGTGGTTCTCTGCCCCGCCCCCCCTTTTGGGGAGAGGCTTGAGTAATTTTTGTGAGGTGACAGAAAATGTCAAAAACGACAAATTGAAATTCTGCTTTGTCTGTTACTTCATCCAGGAGTGAGACTGAGATGCTGAGTTAGCACCACATCATTTCCGTAGCAATCGGCCAGTGTTCTTTGTTGAGCCATCCTGTGTTATGACCTCACAAGTGGAAGTCTGTGGGAAGGGATGCAGAGTACAAGCATGGCCGCCTCAGTAACAGGAGGAGATATATAGGCTTCGTAACCAGCCAAGCTAGCCTTTTGTGTGTTTCTAGTCTTTAGAAAAGGCATTTTGTGCCCCTTCTTACACATGTTAAAATATATGTATATGTATATGTATAAATTGTGCCTTGGGTGCTTACCACAGGGTTTGTCATCGCAAGGTTAACCAGTCACAAGTAATGGAAATGATCTTCGATTGTATTTGAGTCTAATAAATACATTTTCAAATGATAACTCCTCCTCCGCACCCCACCTCACCCCTACAGATATTTGGCACATTAGGGAACTTTTGTCTTTCTATTTGAGGCATTGCATATTGTCACTGGTGCTTGCCACATGTCCCCAGTGTTATTTGAGACCATGTCTGTCAAAATATTAGTGCTGTAGTTCATGTTTGGCCAAATGAGAGTTGACACATAAGGGAAAATTCCAATTAGATGGTATCTAAAATTCAGGAACAGGATCACTTTATATGTGGTGATAAATAGATACACACCCCAATCTTAAACTTCTTTGATGATAATGAAAGCAGACTTAGTATTTAAGATAATTCTGGAAGCCTAGTATAGAGTTTTTGTGGGCTTGCTTTCATCGTTGAATTCAGGTCCAGGGATTTACTGTGTCTTAATTAAATTTTTAATCCTCTTGCTGAACCAGCTCATTTATGAGGAGCTTTTTTTAACTGGATATATTCAGTCCCTTAGGAGCTAGACTTGAGTTGTCAACTTTTTCTACCAAGGCCCCATGGCACTTGGTTGGGAGCTTCACGGGGCCTGTCGTTGGTCAAGTTTCTCCTATACATGGTGGACCAGCCAGGGACTTTTTGTCATTTCACAGCCACTGGCTTAGACTAGCATCTCCATGCTTTTGGAGGGTGGAAAAGAGCAAGTGGGTGAGCCCAGCACAAATGTGTAAGTTGGTGTGTGAAAAGGTGAGGTGTACTGCTCAGGAGAACCCGGTTCAAAAGTAGAACTCTATTTACTTTGCCTTTAGGGGCCTGTGGCAGAGAAATCCCATCTTACTAACACAAGGATGGGATCCCTTGTTTATAAATTACTAGCCTTTCATCAGTTGTCACATTGTAGTTAATCCTGCTTCTGCAAAACTGTGACCCGATTTATTTATCTTCCCACACTGTACATACAGTAAAGTGCTGTGGAGGTAAGCCATAGATCTTTTGACTTGATCTTGATTTTTATTATTGCCATAACTCTGGTGAGAAATACTCTATTTCAAGTCACCAAAACCCTTAAAGATACCTTGTTTCAGCTATAATCTGAATTCGCTTGGATGTCAGAATCTTTGGCTTTATTGGGGCGCCTGGGTGGCTCAGTTGGTTGAGTGTCCGACTTCGGCTCAGGTCATGATCTCCCAGTTTTTGAGTTCGAGCCCTGCGTCGGTGGTCTCTGTGCTGACATCTCAGAGCCTGGAGCCTGCTTCAGATTCTGTGTCTCCCTCTCTCTCTCTGACCCTCCCCCGTTCATGCTCTGTCTCTCTCTGTCTCAAAAATAAATAAAAATTTTTTTAAGAAGTAAAAGAAAAAAAAGAATCTTTGGGATTATGAATCACTTGTCGAATTCTGTGACCTACAGTAGTGCAGACTGCTTATATTTACCCATCACCCTAGTTTTTAAGTGTGATGCTCTTTTGTATACAGAGATGATTTGTTTGTGCTTTTGTGCATTAAAAATCATACTTTAGGGACGCCTGGGTGGCTCAGTTGGTGAAGAGTCCGACTTTGGCTCAGGTCATGATCTCACAGTTCATGAGTTCGAGCCCCGCATCGGGGTCTGTGCTGACAGTTCGGAGCCTGGGGCCTGCTTGGGATTCTGTGTCTGTCTCTCTGTCTGCCCCTCCCCGTTTGTGCTTTGTCTGTGTCTCTCTCTCTCAAAAATAAATATTAAAAAATAAACAAACATTAAAAACCTAAGGCACCTGTAGTGGGACAGATTTTGAAACAAGGAACTAAATTAAAATAGAGGCATACGTGGAGCAAGTTACTGTAAGACAGTGCGTTGGTGTGATGTGTGTGTGTGTGTGTGTGTGTGTGTGTGTGTGTGTGTGTGTGTGTACATCCCACTGCTGCTCCTCCTGCAGGACCTCTAGTTGTGTGTTTGTGTGTCCTTCCAGTGTTTGTCATGGAAAGGGAAATGAGAATTTATCCGTTCTTATTCCAACAGACTGTCTCTTTTATAACCGAGGTTGTGTGTGATAACATTTATTGCTTGGTATCTTTAAATTTTTTTTTAACTTAACATAGCTTAGAGAGCTTTACATTTAGGTACATTGAGAACCTTTAAGAGAAAACTGCTGTATAATATTCTGTCGGTAGAATGTGCCAGAATTTATTTCATAGGCCTTCATAGGTGTTTTTCCTCATAAAATATTTTTAATGATGGTTAGATGTTAATTTAGGAGGATAAATGTGGGATGAAAGACGTTTCAAAGTACCTGATTTTTCATGTTGATTTTTTAAGCACATATGTTTTAAGAGTTTTTAGACTTTGAGGTAATTATAAGCAAGAGCAAACAAGAATTTGTCCTTCTCCCCCACCCATCCCAGGTTTTTTTCAGGGTGTGGTGGTCGAGACCAGTTTAAAAATGTATATGTGTTTGTTTTTAAAAATACCTTTAGCACAATTGTTAATTGAAGTGTATATATATTGATAGTTAAAGAATATCAGGATTGAAGTGATACAAATTTGGGTGGTAATATCAGTCTCTTGGCCTCCAAAGATTTTGAAGGTGTGCTTTGAGATGTGTAAGGGGAAAAGCATGGTTTATATCCAGAGATTCTTTGACGGATGTGATCGGATAGTTGGGGGTTTGGGAGAGTGTCTAGAGGGGAATGGCGAGGGTGCTGTCCGTGGTGCTGAATCAGACTGACCGCTGATGGGGGAGACCTGTCGCAAGACTAGGACACACTTAAGTAGCGCTTTTCAAAACCACATCTCCTGTTTGTAGCTGAGACTGCTAATTTCGATCAGAACGTGTACAGGCAACATATGGGGGCCCGCATTAGTTGCAGTGACATGACATGTGGAGGATGGAGAGGGTTTACACATGGTGTATGACCCTTTTGGCCAGTGGAGGCTATTTAAATCCCAAATCTTGACATAGTGGTTTTTTTTTTTTTTCTTTTAAGACAAGGACCTATGTCAAAGTAAGAAGATTGTGCATAAATAGGATGAGAATGTTACATTTGGCATTTACACCCTATATTTGCCACTCCTTGCTTCGAAGTTTTGCATCCATGCCTTTGATTATGTGTAAATGTTTGTCAAGCCAGATTTCAGCAAGCATTTAGAATGACAAAACCTTTTTACGTGTTTCTCAATCCCTTCCAGACTCTTTATAAATGCCAGTCCTTCTAGGGACCCCCTTTCACACACCCTCTACCCCCTCCCCCAACTTCCAGTCCCTCCAGTTCTGGTTTTTGTGTGGATTTATAGTTTTTAATTATTACAGTAACTGCCCTGTGATACTTTGAGAGACACAATTTGATGTTTTAAAGCGTTGACATGTGGTAGAACATTCTAATGCACATTGCTGTGTATATATTTAGTAAGCTCAACAGTATTTTCTCTGGGGTTGAGTTTTAATGAGTATGAAGGCTATTTCAACATAGTGCAAATGGAACAAATGTGGTAGAGTGATTGCATCCCATTTAGCATTTTGAAAACAACCAAAATTCATATTTATTTAGTAAACATACTAGTAAATACCTTTTGGGTTAGAGTATGTTTATTATGGCACACTTGGAACATACTAGTGACTGACAATCATCAAAAGTACAAATGTGTTTTTATTCAATCCAAGATTGGAGGGTAAAAACCATGGAATTTCTTTGTTTTCTTTAAAGCTGGAGATACAGATGATCCACCAAGAATTACTCAAAACCCTGTTATCAACGGGAATGTAGCCATGAGTGATGGGCACAACAACACAGAGGAAGATATGGAGGATGGTGAGTACATGTGGTTTGTTTACTTGCAATGGGCAGAAACACAACTGGATGTGCTATAGAGTTCTTCCTTGAGTACTTGTGAGTTTCTTAGGAGTAGCTAGTTTTCAGGAGGTTTGTATCTGAGGAAAATTGAGGAACCTGTTTTGGTTTTGAATTTTAAGACTACCTACAAATTTCAGGGTAAGTTGGTTCTCCTCAGCCCAGGAGAGAAGGTTTCAGTACAGAAGTCTGTGATAGATGGGTATTTACTCAGGCTTGCCATTTCCCCACCACTGTTAGCGCTCAGAACAAGTGTATCTTAGTGTACCTTACTCTCCTTTCCTTTTTGTTTGCAGCAAGATACTTCTAGACATTGGAACTTGGCTTTCCATTGCATTCTTACTGTAGTGTGTATATCAGTTGTCTGTAGCCGAAAATCCCTCCCTACTCCCAATAGGTGTGAAAATCAGAATCGAGCTTTGGGCTTCATTCTCCCACACTAACTTTTGGTCTATATCCTCTATGCAAAAAGCGTTTGCATATGTGTATGCATGGACATTTTGTGCCCAGGAAATCCTTTTCTTTCGAGGCTATTTCTTCTTTATAATTTGTCAGATATGTGACCTATACTTTTATTTGCAAGGTCAAAATCATGAGACGGTAGCAGCCAGTAATCACTTTATGCAGTCCCTGGAATCTTGCAGTGTAATATGAAACCATGTTCTGTCAAAAGCATGTCCATCAATCCTCATGAGGGTTGTGTCCTTCCCAGGGGAGTAACGGGGCAGTTGAAAGAAACCGTCAGTCACGGGCTGCACCACCAGAAGGACTGCTGTTCAGACCTCCTGCCAAAAGTTCAGCCTCCATGAGAAACTGCAGCCGTAGTTGAGAGTTCTCTCACAGTGCGGTTTACCCCCTGGCAGCTGGCTGAGGCAATATCTGAGGAAGGTAAAGAGGCGTGGTCTGAACCCCGCTGCTTTGTTACCTGTGGAGTGCGCTTTCCACCGTAGATCAAGGGCAACGGTGTGGGTGTGGTCTCTTTGGTTGCTGGGCTCTTGGTTTAATTTCAGACACCTGAGATGCCAAAAGTGCTTTGGTGAGCGCAGTTGGGAAGGTGTGACCAGGCCAGATGTGCCAGGTGTGAGTTAGAGGTGGGTTCCAGTCACTTGCAGAGCGGTTACTGGCCCACCTCAGGCAGCAAGCTCCCTGTCTAGTTCCACAGAGCAATTCCAAATGAATATTTCTGCCAGTGTTTTTGGGGAGGGCTTGGGAGGAGGTGCAGATGTAGATGAAGGGCAGGTTCTCAACCTTGGTGGCGCTGTTGCCTTTTTGGGCCGATCATTCTTTGTTGCGGGGCAGTCCTCTGTGTGATAGGATGCCAATGCCATCCCACCCATAATCCTCGCTCCCCGTAGCCCCGACAACCAGAAACGGCTCTGCATTGCTAGATGTCTCCGGAAGTCCAGGTTGCCGGATTGCCTCGGTCTCCACAACGTATATAAAACCCCTTTCCTTTTGAGGCAAATTTTACTACTAAATTAGTGGTAGTAAATAATGGTGCCAAACCATAGAACCTAAAAGTAGAAATATTCCTGTGGTGAGTTACCACTTGGGAACATTACAGGAGAAAGCAGAGTGTGGTCTTCAGTTGCACGGCCTTCCCAGTTGGGGATTTGAGGTGTGTTTTGAAAGGTCCAGGCTAAGAGAGTGAAAAGATTGTATCTCTTTAATGGTAAAGAGTGGGAGGGAGATGGTCCTGGTTCTAGGAGTAGAATTAGTTTAGGGCAGCATTTTCCCAGTCGTGATAAGTGCTTTGAAACCCTCTTCTGCAGGACGTTAGCATGTGGTGAGAGGGGCTGAGTCCAGGAACTTTCAGAGGCGCTGGGCCAAGCAAGGGTCTGCATTGCAGAGGACCTCTGGACCGTCAGCACCCTAACATCTTTCTCCAGAAGATTTGCTAATGATTCCCCAAGACTGAACTTTAGAACCCCCTTTCTGGAATCTCCTTCTAACATCGTAAAGTGGGGCACACAATCTGGGAAACGCTGGATTAGAGTGATCTACTGGGCAGAGGGGGGGTTTCCTACATAAAAGTTCAGTGGCTGACAGCACAGATGGACAGGTGTTTGCTTGAGACAAAGAGCATTTAAAAATCCTGTTAGGGGCACCTGGCTGGCTTAGCAAAATGTTCGACACTTGATCTCGGGGTTGTGAGTTCGAGCCCCACGTTGGCTGCAGAGATTACTTCAAAAATAAAATCTCCGCCCCCCC